TTATCAGATTTGAACAAATAAGGAATGGTTTCAATTGAAAAGGTATGTAAGTGACATATATTTTTTTGAAAATAATCGTTTTTTATATTTATAATAATATTATATTTGTTGTTCTAGGTAGGGTTATACAAATTTTCTAGAATTATTATTATGGGAGTTGTATAGTTTGTTGATGCTTGTTATAATGTTTATTATGTAATCTTATTTCTCAATAATTTCTATTGTAAACTATACTAGTCTGTAGATAAATAAAGTCAACATCGAATCTTTTTTCATGCAATTGAATTCTAATAAGATGGGATATATAATCATTTTAGTCACAAAATATAGTAAAAAAGGGCAACATCAAAAATGAGAATTTTGATGTGGAACTTCTTTACATTCCTCTCACGTTTAGGATGTGAGTAATTTTAATATGAAAGCGTAACATTAAAGATGTGAGTCTTCTTTGCACGTTTAAGGTTTAACATCTGGAGCATGAACAATTTAATATGAAGGTTCAACATTCAAAACGAGAATTGAGAAGATTCTTACTTTGATACCATATAATGGATACTGAATCTAACTTAGTTATTTAGGATGTTTAAAGAAACATTCATCTCTATCGTTTGTTACACTTCTTTCACATTTTTATATTTATAGTGGCCTTCTTTTTCGGAATGGGTGTAATTGGTCATGTTTATGAAGAAGAAGAATATCATACTAAGGATCCTAGAGATGAAGTCATAGAAGCATGGTACATGGATGATAGTGATGACAATCAAAGGTTTCCTCATCATTGCGAACCCAAGAACTTTGAGTCTCTTGACAAGCTCACTGGTAAATATACATTATTTTCTCTGTTTCAATTGATATGATAATAAGTTTTTTTAGCTTATTATCAGAGGCAGACCCACATGGTGTCCGCCGGGTGCTCGAGCATCCATTGACTTCGTTATGGAATATATATATCTATGTAGAAATTGATAGATATTTGTATAAAATTGACATAAAGCACCCAATGAATAAATGATTCAGTTGGCCCAATGGCTCCTGGATGGGTATTTAAGAGTGTTATTGTACCAAGTTTCAAATCTCACTGTAAACACATATTTTTAATATTTTCACTTTAGAGCATCCACAACCTTAAATTCCTTCATTATACTAAAAAAGAATGATGACATTTTGAAATTTATTACGTACGTGATATTTTCAAAGCTTGGAGTGCTTAGCTGGAGACTTGATGCTGATAAATATGAGAATCATGAAGAATTGAATAAAATTCGAGAAACACGTGGTTATCTTTACATGGTATATTGATTTTTTACATATAATATATATGGATTAAAGTTTAAAATTTGTCTATTTTTAAATTAGTTCTCTTTTTTTTTTCAATCAACTCGAATATTGTTGATTTATGAAAAAAAAAAAAATTTCAGAGTTGAACTTTGAGAAAATTATTATCTTTTTAAAAAAAATCATAATAAACTATGATAAAAAACTCACATATATTTATTTTTTCAGGATAGTATTGAAGTTTTCCCGAAAAATTATGGAATTATATATGAGGATATGATTAAAAAATTCTTTGAAGAACATTTGCACATTGACGAGGAAGTTCGTTACTGTCTTGAAGGAAGTGGTACTGTTAGATTTCATTGAATATTGGACATTATTTGCAAAATTAATTAATGTGCCATATGTAATATATATATATTACGAATTTATACTATTAGATAGAGTATTTAAGGCCTTTTTAAATTAAAATATGTACTCTTTTGTTTTAGGTTATTTTGATGTTTGAGATTATAATGATGTTTGGATTCGTATTTGGGTGAAGAAAGGTGGATTGATTGTTGTGCCTTCTGGAATTTATCATTGCTTTACACTAGATACAAGCAATTACATTAAGGTGGGTTAAAAAAAAATTGGTTATATTTTCAACAGAGAAGGATTTAAAATATTTTTCAAGTATTTGAATTGGTACAAAATAATCATTCATACACTTTTCGCACTTAAAATATCCTGACATCCATCTTTTAACTTAAAAATATCCTTAAATCTTGATGTTAATCCTTTCGCTCATATCTGCGCTTATTGTCCATCTAAAAATTCTAGTATGAAAGAATAGTTATATATGGGTTTGAGGGATGGACCACGAGGGTTACTTATTGTACTCTAGTTTTACAATTATAATTTTTTTTAATAATTTTATATAAATTTCTAATTTTGCTACTGATTAATTTTCGTCGACCATAGGCCCGTTTGCTGGTGACCCTATTTGGACTGCGTACTATCGTCCAGATGCAGATAATCTCCCTGCAAGATTTTTAATACACACACCTTTTATTTTTTATTTTTTATTTTTCCAATAATTGAAAATGGTTTTGTGCATTAATTAACACTAAGAATTAATTTTTATTTGCAGGAAACAATATGTTGAAATTTTTGGATTAAGGGAAAACACTGCTCATCATGTAATTAATGATAATATTATTGACAGAGTTGACGAATTTTAAATATGCCTAGGCCGTATTTAATTTACCTCATTTTTTTTCTGAATAATTCTAACATATGAATAATTGCTCAAAATTTTTGAGTAATGGTAAATTACTAAATTTGTTTACCTGTTGAGTGAAATATTCATTGATATTTGCAATCATAGTGTGATCTATGAGTATAGGATTTCTTTTTCCTATTTTTTCTATTTGAATTTGATTGATCGAATCAAATATATATACTTCACTATTTTTTGTCACAAGTATATATTTTATGTATACCATGCATAGATATATAAAAAATATATTTTTTGATTATTATTTTAATGATCAATTATTTGTTTCCTTTTTTAGAAAAAGGTACTAGAAAGAATACATCCACTTGATTAGTTCTCTTTATTTTTTTCTCATTTAGTGATACTGTGATACTCTAATTTATGAAGGGAAAATTGTATAAAATAGCAAACTAATAACCTAAATTAAATAGAATAGCTAGGGTTTGGTTTAATTGTGCTCCATAGTGAACATTATCTAAAATTTGCCAGCGTCTCTCTCCCAGGAATCTCGCTCGCCACTCTCCATTCTCGCTCGCCTCTCTCGCTTTATACACAAAAGTGTATAATTCTGTTTCTGTTTTGTATAAAGCGAGAGAAAATTGTATATACACATGCAAAAATGTATATCTTCGTGTTATACACTTAATTATATAATTTACAAACATTTTACTTCAAAAATTGCAAAGAAAAAGGCCAACGAATTATACAATTGCAGTGAAATACAATTTTCTCTAACTTTATACAACAGAAGTGTATATATTGTGTTTCTGTTTTTGTATAAAGCGAGAAAAACATATATCTTTTTGCTATAAACTTATAATTATGCAATATACATACATTTTAATTCGATTCAACTATATGCAAAGCGAATTATACAATTGTAGCGAAATAGGCCAGCGAATTATACAATGTAGGCCAGCGAATTATACACTAGTATATGTATAGTGAATTATACAGTTTTTATGTTTGCTATGGAGCGCAATTATGCAAAGTTTTCTATATTATACAAATATGAATTTTTTGTTTGCTATATGTGAAAGTTGTCCATTTATGAATGGGCGATATAATATGATGAGTAAAAAATGTAATGGGCCAATGTTAGCTAGTTCTTGAGCTTATGGCCTCTAAAAATGTGTTTTGAACAAATTTTTATGGCTTGTTAAACGAAATTTATTTAAAAATTGCATATGGTATTTGATTGATTGATATGTTTTTGATTGTTATAGTATGTATCGTAATGAATGAGGTTATCATTTTGAAGATTTGAAATCAAAAGCCGAATTAATTAAGTTTCAAGCATGAAGAATAACAACTCATTTTGTTTTAATAAATATTACTAGTACAAAAACATACTCTCATGTGTGATAAAAGTGGTAATGACATTGTCAACTACTTTAGGTCAATGTAAATTTTGATAGATTGCAAAGAGAAACATTCAGTTGAAATATGATTATACAATTGCAATTCCATTTTTCAAAATCAATAAAATTTTATGGAACTTGGACCAAAAAGGAAAAAACTAATTGAACTTGGACCAAAAAGGAAAAAACTAATTGAATATGAAAGATAGTTTCAAACTTAAATTAGTCAAGATCTTGAATACATTTCATTAGTTGTTAATAACATAATAATACATCAACAACCCTAAAACCTTTACACATTTGAATTACGGCTTATTTCAATTGAGCATATGAGCCCATATTCCTATCAGATACTATCAATTCAAATTTTAATTTATGTTCATAAATTTTCATCACTATATATAGAAGTGAATCACTTAAAAATATTAGCCTAAGCATTTTCTTTTTTATCATTTTTTATTTATAAAAATATTCAATGAAGATCTTAGTACTAATAATATAAAAAATAGGAGTATTTGGCATTGAACATGTATGGTGTTAAAAAATACTCCCTCCTCGGTCCTTATTTACTTGTCCATATTTCCTCTTTTAGATGTCCTTATTTACTTGTCTATTTTGACAAATAAAAAAAAGACAAAACAAAAATTCTATTACATTCTAACTTAAACTTCTTGAAAATTTTTAACTTTTAATTCATCCTTTTTGAAACCATATTTAATAAATTGTAACTTACTATGTTAATTATTATTATCTTAATATATTTATCTTTTCTAAAGTGAATAACTAAATATGGAAAAAGGGAGTAATAAAAATAAATAAAAAATAAAATAAAAATAAAAAACATGTATGGTGTTGTCATTGGGATAAAATACCTATGAGATTTCCAGTATTCCCTTCCTACCTACCATTGCACACACCAAATGACGAAAACACCCTCAAATTCATCTACCCTCAAATTCGTAAATTCATTTAACCTGGACACATCACATATTTTAGATTTATAAACAAAAAGGTTAATTTAGTCTTTTCACAAGTTATACGCAAGAAAAACGTGAGACCCAGATTTAAGGAGGGTTCTATTATTTTCTCCGTCTTATTTATGACATTTTTGTAGCTCTCTGAAATTGAGAAAAAAAAAATGGGTTCCATTGCAAAGGTATGTAAATTTACTTTGATTTTCAATTTTTATATTCTGAATTTTCGTTAAGTTTTTCTTTGTGGGTATTGATTTTTCTTGTATTTGTTTTTTCCTGGGAAGTAATTTGATCTGCTTTTGAATTGAATTTTCGTTTTCTGTGATAGTTTTAAGTTTTTGGGTGTTGTGTAATTTTTTATGATGTATATTGAAGTTCCGATCTTTACTGGTAAATTAGATTTGTTATAGAAGTATAAGATTGATTGGTAGTTTGATTTTTGGATTGTGTAAAGGGTTTGATTGTGTACTGTTTGAATTTTGTGCTTATTTGTTACGCATAAATAAATATATTCGTTTTTTTGTTTGTTTATACCCATAATAAAGGTAGGATTTTGCAAGTTGGGTTGTATTTTCTTTGCTTAATTTTGATTTTTTTGGATTCTGTAAAGGGTTTGATCAGTTTTGTTTTCTATTTGGATTTTGTATCATGTTTGATATACCCAACTTAGCCTTAGTTAATGATTTTTTAAGTTCCCTTTTTCTATTTTACGATAACATACCTAGTTTAGTCTTACAAAGTGAGTGGTAGGGAGGATTAGAAGTAGAGAGGTTGGTTCTAATAGACCCTTGGCTCAAGGAAAACGTCTTGTTTTTACATTTTATGAAATATTTTATGGTATTCAAGTTGTCTGACTTGCAATTGTTTATTCTGTGGATAAAAAGGTTATAGTTTGCTAGGTATATATTGTGCTTATGGATAGACATAGACGATGTTGCTATTGGGGTAGGAGGTGTTTTCAACGGAGCAAATCTGGAGTTGACGCGACTCAAGGGGTTTAGTTTTTTTGTAATAGATGTGAAATAACCATAAATAAATCAATTGATTACACCTAAAAAAACGCCTGAAAACTACACCTACTTTCTAGGAAGAGTGATATGATTAAGTAATTACACAAACGTTGAATCAAAAATCCAAACTAATTGCACAAACTTTGAATCAAAAACCGACGTGTAACAGCTTTCCTCGACCTCTGTACTCAAGGAGTTTTGTTTAATTGCTAAAAATAAACAGTGTGACTATAGGAAATTTGAGAACTACTCTTATTATATATTTTATTGTAAAGATAAACAATGTTGACTACTGGAAAGTTGAAAGCTATTCTATTATCTATTTTATTGTAAAAATAAACAATCTTGACTATAGGAAAGTTGATAAGTATTCTATTTTCTATTTTATTGTCCTGATGGAAGTCATTATGGATCAATAAAGGAGTTCTGGTTTTAGGAGATAGATAAACAAAGCAAAATTAGGTGTACTTCCATGAAGAAGTTAATGGAAGTGGATCAATTTATGAACGAGATGGATCTTGTAATAAGATGCGCGTAATTAGAAAATTAATCCAAAAGAATTTGTTATTTTTCAAAATATAGTGGTTTTTAGCAATGTCTGTAATGTCCATGAAATCACTTCAGTGCATCATGGGGACATTGACTATATAATTTTAAAATATTATCTATTTTTGGATCGACTTCTATTGTGTTTGTTGCAAACCCCTTTACAGAATATAGACAACTTTTGCAGTGAAAACTGAAAACTGTCCTGCTTAAAGCTGAGCGATCCAAGTAAAATGTCGCAACAGACACTAATAAAATGATACAAGTTCTGGACAAAAGGGGGTTTGTAAATTTATGGTTATAGGAGGGTTGGTAGAACAAAATTGGCTTGTCGTGGTCTATTGATACTTGTATTGTCCTATTACTTGATCATTTGGTTGTTGCCTTGGGTGAAGCTATGGTTTCTTAAAATGATGATCTTCCCTGTCCATACAAGAGAGTGGAATGTGAATTTATTCAACTCAAACCGGGGAGAAAGTGCTAAATAAGCCCCCCAGCAGGGCTTAGTTCATGAGGCAAAGGTTGATGAGGGATTTGTGGCTTATGTCACAAGTTCGAGCCTTAAGCCATGCGAATTAAGCTTGGTATTTAAATGGATCAGGTACAGGGACAGGTCCATTATCCCCGAGTTTTCAAGGGCTGCGGTTGGTCGTAAGTATTGGCCCCAGAACACCACTACCTTCCCTCTCTTTGAGGCATTAATATGAGGTCTCATACCACTAGAGACACTACGATGAAGTGGCCTTGCAGAGTACAAACCCTGGAAACATTATGATGATTGATTACTTCAAATGAACTTTGTGATAGTTAATTTTACTTCGGCTTTTGTTTGATGCTATTTTTTCTCCGCTAGATGTTTTGGATTTTTCAGAATAAGCATTCAAGAAGCATAACCTTGAAGAACCTGAAAGCCTATCTCATATGAAACTGTCTGAACTTGCATAGAGCACTGACGCCCAATCTGAAGGACATGATAAATTTTTTGCTCAGTTGAAGTAACTGGTTGTGGTTTTGCATTTATTCTAATAGAGTTAGCTCCTCTCGAGTTTCCTCAGTGAAGAACTTTTAATACTTTTTTAGAGTGGACACCAAAAACGAAAAACAAAATGCATCAAAACATTCTTAGGCAATCTTATTTAAATGGAGAACAAAGACTAGTTGGGTTTACGCTTGCCAAATTTTTCCTTGCCAAATTTTTCTGGTTCAGGGTTAGGGTCGGGAAGCTTAACTGTATACTTTTACTTTCACGATGTTACTATCAATACATGTGGTTATACCTTTTGGGCTTTTAGTTTGACATGTTAATCATATATGATTTGTTACTTTGTTGGAGTTACTTGCCCCCCTACATTTGCTAAGAAAGAATGATTATAATGCTGTTTTTGAAAGAATCCTTACACATAAAAACAAAGTGTAGAAATTTAGATTACCATAAAATTGGTTAGTTGGAGAAGGAAATGGAGAATCATTCACATGTTGTTTTTGTTTTGTCAATTCCTGCAGGATCCAAGAGAGGATGTCATACAGGCATGGTACATGGATGACAACGATGAGGACCAGAGGCTTCCTCATCACCGTGAGCCAAAGGAATTTGTGTCTCTTGACAAGCTGGCTGGTAACGATCAGGCTAAACATTATACATATAAAAATTATCTATGCGGAATAGAAAATCCCCTTTCACCTCCCACACAAAAAGAAATCGCTAGTTTCTGGCAGTTTGTCTTCCCTTTAAACTTCCTGATAAATTTTGGGATTCTGTGAATAAGGATCTCCTCATTTGTAAATTCTGGTTAAGTAGGTAAATTACTTTTCAATTGATACTGATAATCTAATTTGTTGTTAACTCTCTTGGTATTTTGGTGTTAGAAATTGAATAGGTGAAGATCTTTTGAATGTAGCCATTGGTGGATGAGAATCCCACATTGATAATTTTATCATTTCTCCAAATTCTAATGTTGTCACTTGTCCTAATCATATGATGAACAAGGAATAAAGTAATGAACCAAGTGCTTTTACAACTTATAAGTTGATTGCTGGATGTGTCCTGCCTCTGTATTCCCTTCTTAATTACTTTGTCAAAATTTCAGAACTTGGAGTGCTCAGCTGGAGACTTGATGCTGACAATTATGAGACTGATGAGGAGTTGAAGAAAATTCGGGAAGATCGTGGATATTCATACATTGTATGTTAAAGTTACAAATTGAGACCTTTCATCAGTAATATAGATACAACTTGGTCCCTTTTTTATTATTTATGAGTACTGAAGTTTTATGGGTTCATATTTACTTCAGGATTTCTGTGAGGTTTGCCCTGAGAAACTACCGAATTACGAGGAGAAAATCAAGAACTTTTTTGAAGAACACCTGCACACCGACGAGGAGATCCGTTACGCTGTTGCAGGAAGTGGTAAGATTGCAGTTTATGATTGGATTTTTCTTTTCCACCTTCCTACTACTGTTGCTAAATAAATACTTCTGGGTGTAGGTTACTTTGATGTCCGCGATGTGAATGAGAGCTGGATTCGCGTCTGGGTAAAGAAAGGTGGAATGATTGTTCTTCCTGCTGGAATCTATCACCGCTTCACGCTTGATTCAAGCAACTACATTAAGGTACTTCCTAAAAGCATACATGAAAATATGTAGTTAATGCTGTAATATTTTCATCGTCGCCTCCTTTGGAGACACAGTTTTGGCACTTGTGCTCGATTGCACTTCTTGCACAGTATATTTGATTAGAGTAATGGTTTTTGTAGGCAATGCGTCTCTTTGTTGGTGACCCAATTTGGACTCCATACAATCGTCCACATGATCATCTTCCCGCAAGGTTTATCTCTAGACCCTCGCTATACTATCTAGTCATTTGTTTTAGTTGGATAACCAGATACAATCTTTGAACGTGGAAGCTTATGAACGTCTTTTACATGCAGGCAAGAATATGTTGAGACGTTTGTCAACGCAGATGGCGCTGGTCGTGCTGTTAATGCTGCTGCTTAAATCAACTATAGGAGAGGAATTTGAAATCGTACTAGATTGTAATAAATATTACCATATGGTGGCTTTGCTGTTCTTGATGTGTGCCTTACTAAGCATGTTTAATGTTGTATTGTGGCACTAAATAAATCACCCCCTATGGGAGATTGATTGTTTATATGCAAGTGGAATTTATTATGTGATTTTAGGTGCTTTGTTCTTGTCAAGTAATCCAATATTTCCTATTTCTGCTTGTAATTTAGTTGCAATTTCTTTTTTTTGTTGGTTGTATGTGTTTGTTATGGAGGAAAATAATTTTTCCCTGGTAAATTTTTTTGATTTTTTTTTGTTGAGGAAACTTAATGTCGTAGGAAAAATAAGTTTCACAATGACATTTGTTCGTTCCTTATTATTTCTGCCCTAACAATCCTCTAAATCCGTAAATTGAAAAAGAACAACCCACGTTCCGACATTAAACAAGATTTCATTCCTTAAAATCTTCTCATTTTGTTATTTATCTTCCACAAATCTTTAAAGAATTAATTTATACTCATCTCTCGTAACCTTAAAACTAGTATTGTAACCAAAGTAACACCTTAAAATTCTTAAGAGATGAAATCTCAAATAACGTGAATGAACACACTTGTGAAAATATTATTCGTGAACTTAAGGTCATGCTTAAGGATCTAGGTTACCACAGTAAAATAGATGTTAATAACCTATTGGACTGATGAAAAATGATAAATGTTTAGAGGTCCGGAGTTTAGAAGAAATTGTGGATATCATTGAAAAAGATAATATTAAATATAATACAATATCTTTGGAGCTAGTTAAAGTTAAGGAAACATTTAACGCATCTACAACTCTTCACAATTTTATGTTGCAGTTCAAAAAAAAACATTGGAACTTTTGGATGCAATAAAAAAAGTTAAAGATAAGCTTCAACTAGATTTAACATTTTAACAAAAAATAGAACACAATAGAATCATATCTCACCTGTTTAGGTATATTTATACTTTTAAAAGATTATTATTATATCATACATTTAGATAGAGATTTTTTGAAATTATATTATCTTATTATTTTATCGAAATGAATGATTTTTTCCGTTAACCTAAGTTGGGACCGGAGAAATATTATCTTAATTAACAAGGTACTAATTTAATGAGATTTTCAATATATATAGGGGAATAAGAAAGAGAAAGACTTGATGTTACTCATATATATATATATATATATATATATACACATGCGAAGATTTGAAAATTTCGAGTGTACTAATACATTATCTTTGTTGATATATATATCACACATATCTAATGTCTGACACATTACATGTGTTGATACAAGACAAGATAAATGTTTGATATCTCAACACATTATATATGCTGATATAAGAAACACATGTCACAATATATTACATCCCGATACATCAAATAGGGACTCATTCAGACTAACATTTTTTTATACCTCTCCTTTTATTGTTTCGGCATGGTAAGTAAACCTACCAATAAGGTGGTCACCAAAAAAACTAGTCAGTTTTTTATATTTACATTAAAATTAATTAATCTCGATTCACATCGAATAGATTTATTTAAGATAATATTCTTTAGTAATGATTTTTTTCATATTCAAAACTCAATTAAAATATTTAATTAAGAAAATAATAATTTAACTAACTAATAGTGAATAAACTAGATAAGTTAGGTTGTTGACCGGTAAGTACGAAAGACTGCGTGCTTAGCAACTACCACTCACTTCCCCACTCTTTTTCTTATAATTTTTTAAAAAAAAAAATTCTCTCTGCCATATTTTTTTTTCTATAAGAAGTATCTTTTTTTTTTCTTTTAGATAAGCTCATTTTGTACTCCACTTTTGGTAAGATTTTTCTCTTATAAAATTTTTAAAATAAAAATCACACCATTGTTCACATTACTTATTATTATCATATAACTTTATTTTATTTAAGATTATAAAATATCACTTTTTCATGAGGATAATTGTAGATATCTTTTAAATAATTTTAGTGATGTATAATATATAAAAAGGAATTAAAATATATATGTAAATCGACACCGATGACCTTTTTTTTCTTCTTAGAATTTGTGAGGACTTTATATTAAATCAATGGCAGAGAAAAGTGGACATGGCTCTATTCTGCGAAGTGAAGCCCTCAAGAAGGTCAGTTTCAATTTTCTCGGAATCTCGCTCGCCTTTCTCTATATTTTATATGATACTGCAAAACATAGACATTATTCTTTCGATAGTATCAATTGTGCACAGCCAAAAAAAAAGCGGAAAATACTCGTATCAAATGTAACTCTTTATTTATATATCGCCAATGAAAATAAATACAAAATGATACAAATTGTATCCGATTATATTCGTTAATATAATTTGTATTTGTCGAATACAATTTATATTTATATAATCTCTTCTCTCTCATCCACTCCAGCTCTCGCGGTGCTCTGTCTCAATAATCCTGTTCGCCTCTCTCCTCTATATAGATTTCTAATTGGTTTGCTCTAAACATTAGTCATTTTTTTTTAAAAATTTTCCCTTATTTATTTAAAAAATTCATTTTGACCCGATACATATTGATCCAAACAAACTTTGAGCAGATTAGATTTTTAGCCCATTAATTAACTCAGCCCGTTGGACCTTCTAGATTTGACTCATTATATTTGCTTATCACCTCTATAAATATAGCTATAATATAACTAAATTTCGAGAAAATGAGATCTCTTAACTATTTAGACAAAAAGTAATCTTTTCTAATCTCTTTATGTGTAAAAATAAAGATATCTCGTAAACAAACACAAAAATAATATAAAAAGCCTACAAAACCAATGTTATCCTGATTTTCTAACATGTTATTTTTTTACATTTGACTGTAGTATATTTTGGAAACCAGTGTGTATCCAAGAGAGCATGAGCTACTAAAAGAACTCACACAAGCCTCATTCGATAAGTATAAAATAGTGTAAGTCCTAATTTTTGGATCTTATTAAATCCATGGAATGTTTGCATTATGAATTTAATTTTTTGTGCATTAACAGGGTATAAAAATAATTTATAAGAATAAACTTATAAAGTAATTATAGGTAATTTTCAGGACAAATGATAAGTAATAATTTAAAGAAGTCTCACATCGATGGAGAAGGGAATAAGTGGTTTAATTTCTTCATATGGCTCGAGTAATTCTAATCTGTTGAATTAACTTTTAGGTTGAATTAGATCGATGATACATTTCTTAATTAACGCTTGTAGGCTATAGATAACTTTGATGACTAGTGTAAAAAGAATTCATTGATAAATATGTATATAAGTTTTAACAGCTTTTAACACTGATTAGAGGTTTAGTTTAGTGATTAAGACTGAAAATTCCTAAGTATATACCCTGAATATGTATATTCATTCTTAATATACAACATATATACATTTGTCAACTATTATTTTTACATACAGGAGCTTGATGGGTGTGCCTCGAGATGAAGGCCAATTTCTTTCGATGCTTCTAAAGATCATGAATGCCAAGAAGACAATGGAGATTGGAGTTTTCACCGGCTACTCTCTTCTAACTACAGCTCTTGCTTTGCCTGAAGATGGGAAAGTGAGTATCATAATCACATCATCTGAGTTAATCGTCAAAAACACATTTGAGAATATCATTCTTTTCGCGAATTTCATACTCCAATTATCGTCAGTTGTTCCCTTTTTTCATCTCAACGAGCATCATCTAGGTATTAAAACACATATCAGCTATCAGTTGTTCCTTATTTTCAGGGATGGAGCCAGAAATTTCATAAAGGGTATTCACAAATAGCAGTTTGTTATGTTAAGGATATTCAAAATATGTTATTTTAATTATTATGTGTATCATTTTACTTGTATACATGCTATTTTTTTCGATAAAAAGTGTCTAATTGAACACCCTTATCACTATGTGGCTACGCCACTGCCTATTTCATAAACTATTAGTATCCTTAACGTACTACAAGAGAATAACTGATAGCTGAAATGTGTTTAAATATACAAATGGTGATGGATCACAAAAAAATGGTAATTCAGATATGTTTTCACAAGTATATCACAAATTATTAAAACTTTTTTTGATACACAGGTAATAGCAATTGATCCAGATAAAGATGCATATGAAGTTGGATTGCCATTTATTAAGAAGGCTGGTGTGGAGCATAAGATTCAATTCATTCAATCACAGGCCCTGCCTGTTCTTGAAAAACTCCTCAACGTATGGATTCATACCTTTTTTCGAAATATTTTTTTTTATGTAGTTTCTAAATATGTATATTGTTTAAGGCCTAAAGTTGGTTCGTGAGGGATGATGTATAATCTATTAATTAGATTTCTTCCTATTAGCCTTTTTAATGAAAATATTAGAAATAGCAAACATAATAGAATAAGACTCTATGACTATAGTTTTGGTGATTGGGCTTCATAGCTATAGTTCCGATCGCTATGGAGACTGCGGTTTGTCAGTTTGTATATTTCGCTTGCGAATATACAAATAGGACAAGTACATACATATTCTATATCTATACATTTAGAAATTTTTCAGAACTCCTTTTGTATATTTCATTTATCAATTTATAAATAGGGTAATTTATTATGAATTTCTCATAAATCGCATACAAATAGCTAGGGTGAGCTTATACAAAGATCTAGATTTATACAAATCAGACGAATCACAAAACTTGAGGAAACGATAAGCGTGAATTACAATTTTCTTTAACTATAGCTATGATACCTAATAGCTAATATACGCTAAATTTTTGCTATTCCGCGTAATTTTCCCATTTTTTGTTATGTGTGCTAGTTAATCAATGTTGAATGTCTTTACATCAAAAACAGGAAAAAGAAGAAGGGACATTTGATTTCATATTCATTGATGCTGATAAAGAGAACTATTTGAAATACCATGAGATTGTACTAAAATTGGTGAAAGTTGGAGGAGTAGTTGGCTATGATAACACTTTATGGTTTGGGACAGTTGCACTTTCAGAGGATGATCCTATGCCACCAGGATTAAAGGCATTGAGAGGAGTTGTTAGGGAGATCAACACTTTTTTAGCTAATGATCCTAGAATTGAAATGTCTCAACTTTCAATTGGTGATGGACTTACCCTTTGTCGCCGTCTCTACTAGTTTGAACCTGAGGCGTAATTGATTTTATTGTTATTTAGTGTATCAACTAAAAATGGGGCATGGTTTTGTTTAGTAGAAGAGACTTTTTTGTTGTTGTTGTTGTTGTTCGTT